CACTATTTAACATATACTCACCTTAATAATTTTACAAAAATTGACAACTTCATTTATTTTATTAATATTTATTTTTTTTATTACTTAGATTAATCATTCTTCGCCGATTATTTGCAATAGCGGCTGCATTATATTTTCTTCGAAGTTTTACAATGGTTTTTACATCATTACCAGTCGCTACAGCAATAACTGATTGTCGACCTGACGTCTGTTTAATTTTCAAAAGATTTTATTTTGTAATATATTTTTATTTTATAGAAAATAATTAGTTTTGGTGCTCGTTTAAAAAAAGCAACTTTAATCTTTCTTGGTCAAGGAATGTCATCGTTTGGCGTTAAGACATGTGGTGATTATTTATATAGTGGTCATACTTGTACACTTATACTTGCAACACATTTCATCAACGAATGTATGTAGAGAAAAAATGTTAATTAATCAATGAATAGAACTTCTTCGAAATTTTTACTAAGGTTTTCTCGCCCCTCAAAAAAAAGGTCGTCTTCAAATCTTTTAGAAAAAAACAAACAATGTTCTTTTTCCTCAATTTACACTTTTTTAATAACGCATCCCAAATAAGCTACTTGTGACTCTTATTTAGTGAATATCTCGATCATACATTATGGTATAGAGCTAAAATTTTTTGTTTTTTAAGGTTAACGGGCGTTAAGAAGAGTCCTCATAGGAACAAAAAGCTCTAAATCTTTCCGTCATTTTCTATGCTAAAAGTTAATTTGTTCCTACATTTTGTAGAGAAATGTTCACTCTTTCAGGTTATGTACTTAGAAGTTCATAATAGTTCTTTGCTGTCAAGTAATTGAGCGAACAAAAAGTTCGGGAATAACAATTCGGAAAATCAGAGAGAAGAGTTGTCCCGAACGTGTTGCCGACTAAATGATTTGACAGCAAAGAAGTATTATGAACTTCTAAATACATAACCTGAACGAGCGAACATTTCTCTACAAAACGTAGTAACAAATTAACCTTTAGCATTGAAATTGACGGAAAGATTTAGAACTTTTTCTTCGGGAATAGAAGTGTTTTTTTTTGTTCTCATGCAGGACTACAGCGTTAAGAGAATTATACGATTAAATTATTTTGTATTCTAATTAAAAACAAAAGGCTATATTAGTTTTGTATAGAGTATAGAAATTATAAATTTTACATTGATTTATGTTGATGGATGGATGTGTCATTAACTCATATATTTGAGTTTTACGAGACTGACACGATCTACTTAATAATATAGATCATAGACAGAATATTCTCAATGATGTGTAATAACATCATTCATGCTATTCATTCTTCCACTTTCTTGACAGATAATATGATATTTTTTGAATCTCGAAAAGCTTTATAATTTTTAAAAGTAATCTTCCGTTCATAATAAATTAAAAGGATGACGATATAGTCACTTTTACTACCTGGGGGATAATTATTTATTTGAAAAAGATCGAGTGACAGGAAGAATGGGAATATAGAAATCGGAATGGGTGATTCCGATTGAGAACGTGATTCTAAAAATATCACAATTAATATTTATCTATGGAAAGTCCCTAGAAAACAAAAAATAAAATTGTGCTTTTCTAACAATAATATAAATTTTCTTTTTAAGATTCTCCACGTTCATATCATATACTCCATTTTCTCAGTTGGGTATTCGCATTAACTGGTATGTTTTTTATTTTGGCTGGTCACCAACATTATTCTATTGATATTCTTATTGCGTGGGTACTTAGTTCCCGTCTATTTATTTATTATCATACGTAAGAGTTCTTCTTATTCAATTAAAAATAATAGAAATTTCTTTTTAGTCTTGCTAATAATCGAACGTATTTTCAAAGGGATAAAAATCGTATGAGAATATGGTTTCCATTTTTTTCTTACTTTGAAGAGAATGTTAAACAAGCATTACCTAATGAATATATTTCACCAAAAATTATCTGTGAAGCACGGACGATGCTCAACAGCTGGTTTGATAAAGTACGATATCCAACAGATTAACAATTTTTGACTTCTTTATTTTTTTTTTCATTTTTCATTTATTTCATTATTAACACCAGTAGTCTTTCGTTGAAAAAATAAGACATTTCTTTTGTATTCCTTTAAATTAAAATCGAACTCTTGTTCTTTTGTTTACTGTAATTACTTAATCAAATTTGAAAAAAAACAAAATTTTCTTTTTCCACACCGGTTATATAATTCCCGT